CAATACCTGACTAATAAATTCTTCCCATGTGTTCCTCTCCCGCAGACTATAGTGATAAAATACAACATATAGCTTTTCTTTTATTAAGACAGTAAAAATATATCGCAGAAGTGGATGTGGCTGTTTGGGTTTTAGTAACTGGTATTTGCTCATTCCTTTTCTCCCCCAGGAAACCTCATCAAAAACTTGCCTCTTCTAAATTAACTACGTGGCAATGGGACTCCAAAATATCCCAAAATACTTCTACCAAAATATTTCAACTATCTGCTGCAAAAAGGAAATCAGGGGGACACTTCCATGTCTTAATCAACTGACCAGCCTCCAGGATTGCAGAAAAACCCTAATTAATTTGCATCCCAGAAAATCCTGTCTAAAATCTGCCAGCTAGCGCGGATTTTCAAAAACACATATTGCTGGACACAATAGTCCTAGAGTTACCACTAATGCTTCTCTTGAGCACTAGATTTGAAAATTTTAATAATCAAACCATTTTGTCAAAAGTAGCAAGAAATCTGGTCTACAAACTGTAGTCTTTTTATTTTTTTCAACCATTTAAAAATGTTTTGGGCCTCCCGGGTGGTGCAGCAGGATGAGCGCAGCACTGTGAAGCTGTTCGCAGCCTCTGCAGCACCGGTTCGATTGCCGGCTGCCCAGAGGGATTCCCACATGTCACGGCAGACCTCTCCTGTCTCGCCCGCTGCTTCCCTCAGCATTGTACTTCGGTCCTTCTGCTTGTTCTGCTCCCCACTCTGTCTCTGGTGAGTTCTCTCACCCTCCCGCACCTCTGGCATGTACCCCAGTGCTTGTATAAATAAATCTTTTGAAAAATAAGAATAATAAAATAAAATAAAAATGCTTTAAATCATTCTTAGCTCAAGGGTCAGATTTGACCAGGAAACTGTGGTTTGAGAACCCTGATATAGATGGATGGGAATGACAAGTGGCACGGAGACCACCAGGGACCAAAAAAGTGGGAGAACAAAAAGACTGAATCCCAGCATCAGAAAAGAAAGGGAGAGGAAGATGGTATCACAGGACCTTTACATATGCTGTTTCTCTCCACCTCCTGCCAAAGCTAATTCAACACAAACTCTACTTCCTCAAGGATGCCTCTCCCACCCCAATCCTATCCCAATTATAGAAAGTGCCTTGATATACTCTCATACCTTCATTTTCCACATTCATTCATGTCATGATCCATTCATCACAACAGTGACTTTTTATTCATTTTGTGATTCTTTGTTGAATGTCTATTTCAGCCACTTGACTGTGAAATGAGACTGAGGGCCAAGACTCTGTTCTCTTATATATCTTTCCCAACTTCATACCCTCATGCTTAGTATAGTAGCCACCCAAAATGCATTTGTTCAGTGAATGAATGAAAGAACAAATGAATGGATGAGTGAATGGAGAGGTAGTGCAATGGCAAGACTCTAGGATGTCAGGTGAGGAGGTTGAGGAAGGCTGGGATGGAACAGAGACGTCTAACAGTTAAGGTTCAGTTGCTGCAGTATGCAGTATGCAATGTAAATTCCCTGTCCATTCTCCCAACCTTTGGTAAAGCCAGGGGCCTTGGTGAAATCAAGGAGAGAAGACATTGCCTCATCATTATAGTCTGGGAACCACAAGCTGTGATAGAACTATTTAACTCAGCAATAACAGAAGACCAGGAGAAAATAACCTATCAGGGATTCTCACAATTTCAGCAAGGGTGTTGAAAGGGTTTGAGCCAATCTTACCTAGATAAGAAAGAGCAGAGTGAGCCTAGTCAGTATTGAGTACAGTAACACTTCCTTCTCTCCATCTGGGATTTTACTGTGTGATTTAAAGCAAACTTTGGAGTTTCAGACAATGAGACTCAGATAGGGAAAGTGACTATCCCAAGGCCACACACTGAATTGGGGAGTATTCTGTTCCAGCTGAATATGATCCCAAAACCTACCCACTATCATGACATTGGGTAACCTTCAAGGTGGGTCTTGGAACAGTTAAGTCCTGCCCTGTTTAGGGGTCTGGAAGGAATGTCATTTCTAGAGGAAATGACTAGATATTAGGCATGAAGGATTTGGTAAGGCTTGGGCTAGAGATCCCAGAAAGGAAGATTCTACTCCCAAATGTGTATTTGCCAAGGGGGATCACTTCTATCTCTGTGAACCTTTGTAGCTGTGAGCAGCCCAAGACTAATATGAGATACAATGATTCACTAGAAGGACTCATTGAATTCAGCAAAGGGGTTATATTCACCATTTGTTATAGGAAAAGAATATATATTAAAGCCAGCAAAGTATGAAATTTAGCATTCATAATCATTTAATTATATATAGTTTGTGGATCATTTATTCTCATGTATCAAGAATTTGATTGTTGAGGGCTTCCATGGTGGTGCAGCGGGTTGAGCGCAGCGCTGTGAAGCTGTACACAGCCTCTGTAGTGCAGGTTCGATTTCCAGCCAGCCAGGGAGAAAAACCCACATGGTGCAGCAGACCTCCCCTGTCTTGTCTGCTGCTCCCCTCAGCAGTGTTTTCAGTCCTCTGTCTGTTCTGTTCCCTACTCTGTCTCTGGTGAATCCTCTCACCCCCTCATGCCTCTGGCCTGTACCCCAGCTTTGTATAAATAAAAAATAAATCTTAAAAAAAAAAAAGAATTTAATTGTTGAGAAAAAAATCACAGCCATCTGTGAACTAAGTGACAACCATCTGTGAATTAACAAAAGCAACTGGAAAAGTACTAAATCATTAAAAGGGATTGTCCCCAAAACAATACCAATATGGCATGTGGGTGTTTTTTAATCGTTGTATGATGATGGGTGGGGCAAGGGCTACTCTCACTCCTAAATCAGCCTCCACTCTTCTGAGGTTCTGGGGTACACCCAATAGGACCCGAGTCCTACTGCCCCAACCTTGGACATGTAAGGAGGTATTATCTTGACACCAACCTCTTTCACCATTGTGAGCAGCTACCACTAAGACATCTGGGCAGGATCTGATGGAGTGCACCACACCCTTCTCCAGTCTAACTCTTGCCAAACACACATACCCAAGAAAAGTGAACAGAACCTAAGAGATTTGTGAGACAATATCAAGTATACCAATATAAGCAACATGGGAGTCCCAGTAGGAGAGAAGTAACCATCTAAGTGATACCATCCAAAGCTGGGAGAACCAAAATGTCAGAGTTGGTGGGTTCTAAATCATGTACTTACAACTTCAACCCAGGATATGACTCAGGGCTCAACAACAGGATTTATTTACAAAGGGGAGAGAGAGAGAGAGAGGTTGGGAGAGAGAAAAGAGAGGCAGGGGAGAAGCAATAGCAAGATCAAGGTCTTAAAGGTCTTGAAGTTCTTGAAGGTCTCTGCAAAGGTGTCTGTGAAGATAGCACCACAGCAGTCAGGAACAGTAATCTGAAGGGCAGGCCAGGAAGCAATGGACAACACCACAGGCAACAGCACCAGGGGTTAGTGTCAGAATTGTCAGATGCAGGGACCAGTGTTATATCTCTTAGAGATGCTGGGCATAAAGTCAATATCAAACACCTCTTTTAGAGACACCTAGCAGTGGGCCTCCCCTAGTAGCACAGAGGTTGAGCACTGGGCTGCGAAGCTGCCCGCAGCCTCTGCAGGGCTGGTTCGATCCCCGGCCGCCAGCAAGGGTCCCACATGGCACGTAGACCTCTCCTGTTGGGCCCATTGCTCCCTTCAGCAGTGTGTTTCGTCAGTCTGCCTGTTCTGTTGCCCGCTCTGGCTCTGGTGAATCCTCTCACCCTCCCATGCTTCTGACTGTACCGAGTGCTTGTATAAATAAATAAATAAATAAATCTTTAGAGACACCTAGTAGAGGGCCAGTGGTATCATTCAGCAGGTGACATCAGAGGCAGTCAGAGGTCAGGTTTACAAAGGTGTGATGCCAGAGGACAGAGATAAAAGTTACTACCTCTACAAAGGGCTTCCCAGGAGAGAGTTCACACAAATCTGACTACCTCTCTCCAAGCTGGCTGGAATTTGGTTTATATATTCTTCAGGGTACCCCTTTTCAAAAAAGGACCTGATTGGTCCTTTTTAATTGACTGGCACCCATGGAAGCTCCAATCAGATTGGTCCATTTACAATCCCAGCTACTTGGTGCCAAACTGCACAAGTGTGCCCAACCTGAACTATACTGAGGTTGGGCTTCATAACTGAACACTAGGAGCCCCAGGAGGGTGAAGGGGGCAGTCTCATGCCAGCTATTTGAGTGGCACTGGTCAAGCTCCATTCAAATTAGTCCATTTTCAAGTCCATTTTCAATCCCATGCTAGTGCATTTTCACTGTGGTTGGGCTTCAAAACTAAGCATCAGGAGCTCCTTTGGCACTGGTGCAAGGTTGAACCTGATTGGTCCATTTAGCTCAAACCTGCACATCTGCATGCTCCATTTAGGACCCTGGAGTCAGATATAAAAAGGAAAAGCCCAGCCCCTGTCCAGACCAGAAGTGCACTGAGGTCAGGGCAGGCTCATGGGCTGAAGGGCTCTGAGGACCCACAGCTGGAGCCAACTTCATTGGGACTGGAGACAAAATGCACCTGGCACCCCTCAGCAGGGCCAGGTTTCACAATTTAGGGGGTCCTGCTTCCTGAGGAAGACATAGTCATAATGAATAGTTGAAAGGGTAGAAAGAATAGCTGAAGAAATAATGGCCAAAAAAACAACCCAGAGATGAAAGACATGACTCTACACATCAAAGAAGCTCAATGAACTCCAAGTAAGATACACACAGAGATATCCACATTGAGACACATGATAGTCATGAGTGGCTTCACAACATTTTGCTCAATGACAAACTTCATCTACAACAGTGTCCTAATAAGTATATCATATAGTTTAGGTGTATAGTATGCTGTACCATAGAGTGTTGTTACACTCTATGACATTTGCACAGTGACAAAATTACCCAACTATTCATTTCTCAGAATGCACCCCATTGTTAAGGGATACATGGCTCTATAAGCAAAAACACACAAACTTCTTTCTGCAGGTCTTCATCTTCTGGCACCTGCTATCCCATCTGAACATTGGACCGTGAACAAGCATCACCTGGTGGAGTCCCAGTCTAGATGAGGAGGCAGACAAACTAGCAATGGCCACTGGAGTTATTAAATTCACCTGTGGCAAGAATGAGAAGAAATGAAACACAAGGATATCTTTATACTGGACAGTGGTGGGTGATTATGTAGGGCATCCCAAGGAGGTGCTACTGGAACTAAAGATGTGAAAGGGGCAGCTTCAAAAAAAAAAAAAAACCAAGAACTTCCATGGCAGAGGGAAATACACATGCAAAAGATCTGGGGCAGCTGGTGAAAGTTGAGAACAATGGAAGAAATGAGACCAGCAGTCTCGCTGGGACAAGATTTTATTTGATTTGATTTTGAAAAGTGTCCAACCAGGGCATGTTATAATCACATAGCAGTTTTTTAAGTCCACTCTAGGCACAGCATGGAAAATGGAAGGTATCGATGAGGTGTTACATTTTCCAAGATGGCCACAGTAATATCTCCCATCCCACATTCTCTTGCACAAGGTCACTTTGACACATCTCCCACTAAGGATTTATGCCCTCTCCCCTTAAATCTGACACCCCAGTTCCGTGGGAGAGGGTATGCAATTTCTACTTATTCACTTTTGGAGCACTGGGTGGCTGGGTAAGAAGCCACCCACAACCCCCCCCTCCCCCCCACCTTAGAGATTTGGACAGAGATGTCCGGAATAAAGATCACACCCCATGGTAGTAGGTTCCCTACGATAGCCCGAGTGGAGGTCCCTGCCAACAACTGGCATCAATTGCAAGACCCGTGAATGAACATACCTTCAGATGACTGTGGCTCCCCATTTGTTGAGGCCCTGTTAAGCCTCTAAATCTTTCCAAGTGAGAAATACAATGCCCTAACCAAGGCCAGGGAGAGTGGGTAAGAGGGAAGACCCCGCCCCGGACAGCGCCAGGCTATTCAGAGTTGGGACAGGGGAAGTAAGCCTAGAACCCCCATTCCTTCCCCTCCCGGCAAGAGCAACTACATCTCCCAGCATTGCTTGCTCAGGCCGCGGGAAGGGGAAAAAAAAAAGTTTGGGCCAAGCATTCCCGGAATGCGCTTCCTGCTGGCGCGGGGCTGGGGGCAGGCGGGGAGGCCGGGGCGGGGCGGGAGGGCTGGGGGCGGCGCGGCTGGAGCCCGGGGCGCGCACTCGGCCCGGCCCGGGCCCCAGCATGGCTGAGCCGCTGCTCAGGAAAACCTTCTCCCGCCTGCGGGGCCGGGAGAAACTTCCCCGGAAAAAGTCGGACGCGAAGGAGCGCGGTGAGCTGGGGGAAGGTCACCGAGGAGGGGGCGCCGAGCCCTGCCAGGTCTGGGAGGGGGTCCGGGTGTCCCAAGAATGGACGAGTAGAGGGTCAAGGAGAGCCCCGCGGAGCCCCCTTCTGATCGGGCTGGGGGGCAGAGGGTGGGAACGCGTCCTGGAAGGAAAGGATTCGGAAGAGAGGGGGGTTGGACCGTTATGTGCGCCTGGCTCAGATGCCAGCACTGCGGGCTCCTTGGGAGGCCCTGGAGGGGGGCCTCGCCCCTGACAGGAAATGGGGCAGAGATGGAGCGCCTTGAGGGTGGAGGGAAGGAGGAGTTGGGAGATGGTGGGAACCCTGGGCCCTAGGCAGGCCAGACAGGGGCTACCCAGGGCCTAGAATCCTGGGGTGGGACATAGGGTTTATTCCTGCAGGAGAGGGAGGTCGGGTATCAAACAGAAACCACCTCTATCCCCCCTCATACCTACAACCAGTAACTGGAAGTGCGCCATCCTTAGGTGGCCCCAGGAAACTGTACCCTTTGTGCAGATGGGGAAACCGAGGCACAGAGCACCTGGGTAATTTGCCCAGGGTCCATGAAGTGACTTAAACAGCTCTTTGGAGTATGCAATAATCGAGACCCCTGAAAGTCTGGGTTGGCGAGAAACAGTTGACCAAAGGTGACCAAAGAAGAAGGTAGGTGGGCAAGCAAGAGAAGACTTGGGAAAAATGGGAACTGTGCAGAACAGGAAGTCTCAGTAAGGAATGAGTTAAAAGGAGGCAGGCCAGACCACTTATGAATCTGACCCAATCCTTACCAAAGATTCCCAAGATTCCCAGAACAGAGAGATGGGACAGGGTGCCCACGCACAAACAAACAGGAAACAGCCCAGGATGTCAAAGAAGGGAGAATAAGCAAAGGGAAGGCCTCAAAGCATTGACTGTGGAGGTCTGGCCTGAACTGAGAAACAGCACATCTCAGGATGGGGGCAGAATTTGGAAGTGGGGAGGGGATGATATGCTCCATGGAAGTCGCTATCATGCTTGCTCCTGTCTTCCAAGCCAGCAGGCTTATGTCCACTGTGAGCTGTGGGCTTGACCGTGACATGGGCACCTGGGAAGCACTTCCCACACTGAGTTCCCTAAAGCCTCTGGGGAGGGAGGCATCGGATCCCCCATTTCACAGGGGGACACTGAGGCTCAGAGATGAGAATCTACTCGCCCAAAGCCATGCAGTGAGAGGCCAAGGGCAGAGCTCTATGCTGGGGTTAATGAGAGGGCCAAAGAAGGAGAGTGGAGAACACAGTACCCTCCACCCTATCCCCAGGCTGAAAGGTGGAAGTGTCCCATTGTACACCAGGGACTAAGTCCCTGGGCTGGGGAACAAAGGGACTGGGTCTCACTCCCCTTGCTTTCCACCAGGACGCCCAGCCCAGCATCTGGAGCCTACCCCTCTGGAGCCAGAGCCCCAGGCTCCTGAAGGGTCAAAGGCCGGAGCAGAGGGATCCTCCAGCCCTGAGGCATCTCGGAGTCCAGGTCGGGGGGCCTACCTGCAGAGCCTGGAGCCCAGCAGTCGCAGATGGGTGTTGAGTGGAGCCAAACCACCTGAAGAGGCTTCTTTGGGGCCCAGGACACCTAGCATTGGGGAGCCTGCAGGTGAAATCTGGTATAATCCCATCCCTGAGGAAGACCCCAAACCCCTGACACCTGAGGTACAGGGGCCACAGTCAGGTTCAAGTGAACCAGAGGATGCTGCCCCACAAGGTGAGCACATCACACCCTAGCACCCCAATATGAGCAGAAGGTTCACCCCGTCCCAAGCCCAGATGGTGAGGTCCGCTATCCCTGACAGGTGCAGCCCCCGCCAGCTCCCCAACCAAAGCCTCCCGCACCAAGTCCCCAGGGCCAGCCAGGCGCCTCTCCCTGAAGATGAAAAGGCTGCCTGAGCTACGGCGCCGCCTGAGCCTGCGGAGCACCCGTGCTGGCCGAGAGCGAGAGCGCGCAGCCCCCGCGGGCTCGGTCATCAGCCGTTACCACCTGGACAGCAGCGTCGGGGGGCCGGGGCGGGCGGCAGTGGCCGGGGGCGCGCGGGGTCCACCGCCAGGTTACCTCAGCGATGGCGATTCGCCTGAGCGCCCAGCGGGGCCCCCGTCGCCCACCGCCTTTCGGCCCTATGAGGTGGGCCCGGCGGCCCCCGCACCCCCAGCCGTACTGTGGGGCCGCCTCAGCCTACACCTGTACGGACTGGGGGGCCTGCGGCCGGCGCCCGGGGCCACCCCGCGAGACCTCTACTGCCTGCTGCAGGTGGATGGAGTGGCCCGAGCGCGCACAGGGCCGCTGCGTGGGGGAACGGACTTCTTGCGGCTGGACCATACATTCCACTTGGAGCTCGAAGCTGCCCGGCTACTGCGGGCCCTGGTTCTGGCATGGGATCCTGGAGTGCGGCGGCACCGGCCCTGCGCCCAGGGCACCGTGCTGCTACCCGCGGTCTTCCGAGGTAGGCGCCTGACTGAGGGGGTGAAGGGTAGGGGACGGGATCCACTCAGGGCTCCCCCAGCTCCCAGTGTGCCTAGGGTACTAAACCTGGGTCGGGGGTGTGGCTTGGAGGCTGTGTGGCTTGGGGTAGGGGGCTGGAGCACTGAGCCTGCTGGAGCAGATCCCACTTAGGTTCCCTGTGTCTTCAGGATGTGAAGCCCAGCAGCTGGCGGTGCGCCTTGAGCCCCAGGGTCTGCTGTATGCCAAGTTGACCCTGTCAGAGCAGCAAGAAGTACCAGGCACAGTGGAGCCGCGAGTCTTCGGGCTGCCCTTGCCACTGCTGGTGGAGCGGGAGCAGCCCCCAGGCCAGGTGCCCCTCATCATCCAGAAGTGTGTTGGGCAGATTGAGCGCAGAGGGCTGCGGGTGAGCTTCTTTCCCCATCTCAACTGTCTCCCAGACCTCAGATCCACCCCAAAGGGCATTTCCAGACTACACATGCCTTCCCCCCACTCCCACCCCTCCTAAGCCGGGGACACTCCTAGTTCCAGCCTAGACAAGTGCAGTAGGTGTCCCTACACTGCAGCACCCTACCCAGAATCCATAGATCATCCATCCATTTGGCAACACAGAAACCCAGTCCTGCTGGAGCTCAGTCTGATGGAGGGAAAGATATGATTCCAGTAATACAAATGTAGAATGATGGCTGGAACAAAAGTTTAGAAGCCTGGAGAGTTTAAAGCAGAACATGACCTCCAGGAAGTGGCATGTGAACTGAGGAGGAGTCAGTGGGGTTTTTTGTTTGTTTTTGTTTTGTTTTGTTTTGTGTCAAAGAAAGTAGGTACTAGGATTAGTCATCGAAGCAAGGGCTTACAGGGCCAAGTTGGGTCCCCATGACAGGCATCAAAGAAGCAGGAAGGCAGGCAGTGAGGCTACAGTCAGCCCCCAACCTCTCAGCCCACAGCTTCCACTGACACTGACAAAGTTTCCCAGACCTCAGTCCCCATCCCACTGAGCCCTGATCAGCCTATGGCCCCATCGAGAAGATATCCCCTTCCATCCCCATTTCCAGGTGGTGGGGCTGTACCGTCTGTGTGGCTCAGCAGCTGTGAAGAAAGAGCTTCGGGATGCCTTTGAGCGGGACAGTGCAGCCGTCTGCCTCTCTGAGGACCTGTACCCTGATATCAATGTCATCACTGGTCAGCCTGCCCCTCATCTTCTGTCTGTTCACCCCCCATTTAACCTTCACCTCAAGGCAGTCTCTGGGTCCCCATGGGACCTCATCCCTTCTGTCTGGCCTTGTTTTCACTCTCCTACACTTATACTCCTCCTCCTCCCCATTCCCAGCCCAGTGACCCCCCTCCAGCCTCAGAAATAAAGATGTCCTGACCAGAGTGGGTCCTGTGTCTGCAGGCATCCTCAAGGATTATCTTCGGGAGTTGCCCACCCCACTCATCACCCAGCCCCTCTATCAGGTGGTGCTGGAGGCCATGGCCCGAAGGCCCCCAAGCAGGGCTCCCTCTAGCACTGAGAGCACAAGGGATCTCCTCAGCTGCCTGCCGGATGTGGAGAAGGTGAGTTGGGCCTGGTGGGAACTGGCGGGACTCAGAGTGGGCTGATTCCACCACAGTGCTTCACCCATGCCTGATCCTACCACAGCTCTGAGCTTGCGGCATTATTACAACCCCAGAAAGTAGGTGCTCTTAATATCCCCATCCATAGATATGGAAACAGACCCAGAGTAGTTGGGCTACCAAGTTGGCACAGCCAGAAGGGATCAAGAACACAGACTATATTTATCAAATCATGGGCAGGTCCCACTTCTCTCTATGCCTCAGTACCCTCATCTATATGAAATGGGATTAATGTCAGTCCTGCCTCCCAACACAGAGGAGTAGGCTCAAGTCCAAGTTATGCCATTCCAAAGCTAAGGTGTCTTTGGCCTCAGTCCCCTCCTGCAAAATAGGATCATAAGACTAATACCTAATGGTTAAGTCTTAGCTTGGCCATCTCCCAGCTACCAGATTTGGGACCACGCTCTGCCGCTGCAGCCTCCTCAGATGCGACAGGAGATCAGCTTTATCCCTCCCAATCCTCTCCTCTCAGGCCACACTGACGCTTCTCCTGGACCACCTGCGCCTCGTTTCATCCTTCCATGCCCACAACCGCATGACCCCGCAGAATCTAGCGGTGTGCTTTGGTCCCGTGCTACTGCCGGCGCGCCAAGCACCCGCCAGAACCCGCATTCGCAGCTCAGGCCCGGGCATCACCAACGCAGTGGATTTCAAGCGCCACATCGAAGTGCTCCATTACCTGCTGCAGGCTTGGCCAGGTGAGCCCGCCCCCGGCCCGCTCAGATGCTTTCTCGGCCAATCAGAGCCTCGTATTTCAGGAAAGCGAGGCCCTCTCGTCTTTGTAAGTGGTACCTGGTTGCTGAGGCAACCAGTTCAGATTCAGCCAATCCAAGCTTGAAGCGGTCAGAGGCCCTGCCTCTCGACATGCCAATCAGAACTGGTTGCCTAAGCAACCAATTCCGTCCCTGTCAGTGAAATCCCGATCCGGTCGATGGCCTTGCCTTTCGCCAGGCCAATCAGGGAACTGGTCGCCTGAGCAGCCAATCAAAGGGAGGTCTGGTTGCCGCCGTTGCGCGTACGTCATGACGAGCCCTCCCACACCCCTGTAGATCCTCGTAGATCTCCGGAGCCTCCGGACCTCGCCCCGTGCCTGAGGCCCAAACGACAACAGTCGCTGCACTTGCCGCTAGCGAGCCCCGAGGTAGTGACTCGGTCCCGCGGCCGAAGCGGCCCCGAGAGTCCCCCGAGCAACCGCTACGCCGGCGACTGGAGCGTTTGTGGGCGGGACTTCCTACCCTGTGGGCGGAACTTCCTGTCTGGGCCCGACTACGACCACGTGACAGGCAGCGACAGCGACGACGAGGACGAGGACGAGGAGACCGGCGAGCCTACCGGCGCCGCTGACTTCGAGGACGAATTCGATGCGCCCTTCAACCCGCACCTGAATCTCAAAGACTTTGACGCCCTCATCCTGGACCTAGAGAGAGAGCTCTCTAAGCAGATCAACGTGTGCCTCTGATCCGGGCGGGGCGGGCCCTTGGTTCTAAGGACCGGGCTTCGGGCGTCTAAGGCGGTGCCCTAACGACGGGACCAGACCTGCCTCTCTAGCCTCGTTCCTGGTAGGTGCGCGTTACCAGTGACCGGCCGGCCGCTTGCTGAGCATTGCTTCCAGTGCGCAGTCTCTGGCCCTGGTTGCAAAGGACAGGATTTTCTGGGGATTTTCCGGGACCAGTTGTTGCCATTTTTTCTGAGCACCAAGGGTTTCTTCTCTTGCTGCCAAAAGGCAGTTCTTCCGCTTGCTAGGCTGGCCTCTCTTGCCTCCCTTGACTGGTGAATCAGTTACTGTGAGCATCACCCTGGGATCGTGTGACAGCACACCCCTCTCTTGTCCTTTTGCTGCTGCCAACCAAATCAGTATTAGCTTTGAGCACTGCACTCTGCTTCTCCCTCCCTTGGGGGACCCAAGGACTACCGTGAGGTGTCCTTTGGGTCAGAGTGGGGGGCAGCCCCTATTCTGAATTCCGGCTAGATAGGGACAGCCTGGAAAACCCCACAGTTACCTCAAAACCATATGGAGAAAGCAGAGTCTGGCCCATCCCCACCTCCCATTTTTCTTTCCCATCCCTGAAAAAAAAATGAGCACTTATAAGACCTCCCTTTTGGAGGGGCCCCACCTGAAGTGTCAGGCTGGGGGCACTTTGGTACGGAACATATTTATTGCCTCCGTGCATGTGTGTCTGTGTGTGAGGGCTAGTGTGCATGGACATGTCTGGGGCAGGCATGTAGGGCTCTTTCAGGGACCACATGGGGGTAGAGTTCACAAGGCCCAGGCACCCTGAAATACCAAGTTGATGCCTCAGTGGTCCCCAGAGATCCAGTGAGAGAATAGGGTCCCCTCTGTCAGCCCCCCTTCTTCCCTCACTTCCATCTTTGTGGACAATAAATCAATATGCACAGGTTCTGAATGAGTAATCGGGCCCACATGGACCACAGATGATTTATTAAGTATGTAAGAAATGGGGAAAGGGCACAGCTGGGCCCACAAAAAGAAGTCCCGGTACTGCCAGAGAGCCGATCTGAGCCTGGGGGGGGCGTGGAGGGGGCGGGTTGTCGAGCCACTGGACCTTGGAGGAAACCCACAGCAGGCAAGAATGAGACTCCAAACCAGCTGGGCACAGTCCTGGGGTGGGAAGAGACCCAATGGCACTGATCCTTGAAGCCCTATATGGAAATGGCACCATCACGAAAGTCTGTCCTTCCAATGAGGATGTTGACCACCACTGGGTGGCCATCTTGGTACTGCTGCTGGGCATCATGCAGTACCTTAACCACCTGATCTTCATTCTCCCGTGAAAGCAGCAAACCCTGGGCTCCCAAACCCATGGCTGCCTTATGATAATCTGAAAGAGGAAATCAAGTCAGATAGTGGAAGGAAGCCAGCCCGTGTAGCCACCCCAGAAGAGGAACACAAGTCCTGCTGGACCTGAAACAGCTTCCCTGCACTCCCACCACACCCAGGCTCCTCACCCGTGTAGGCCAAGCCACAGGCCACATTGCTGCCCAGATTGGGCACCTGCTCCCGAGAAATCTGGGTCCAGCCAGCATCATTCCCTATCAAGGCCATCACTGGGATCTGCAGGGAGAGGGTAAGGCCAGGCCACAGCTTCAGTCCCACAGTTAGCCACCACAAGGATGGAAGAAAGGACAAGAGCCCTGACAGAAGCAGCTCTACCCACAGGCTACCCACCCCTGACAACATGCCCCAGAACCACAGGTTCTGAGGCTCCCTTGGGGCTGCCAAGTTACCTTGTGTCTGACAAAGGTGTCAAATTCGATGAGGCTATAGCCAAAGGCTCCATCCCCAAACAGGCACCAGACCTGAGGGGGGACCAAAGATTGTTGGGGTGGCTCATAGCCCAGAAAGGAGCAAAACTCTTATCTCCAGGTCCCCAACTCACCTCAGCATCTGGCCGACACAGTTTGGCCCCAAGTGCAAATCCTGCGCCAACCCCCAGAGTCCCAAAGGCCCCTAGAATAACCAAGAGCAAGTGACTATGAAGGAACCTATACAGTGGAAGCTGCCCCTGGCATACGCCCTTTCTTACCAGGATCCAGCCAGCACAGGGGACCACGAGGCTGCACCAGGTGGGCAGCAGTGCCCACGAAGTCCCCACCGTCGACCACCAGAACCGAGTTGTCAGGTAGAGTCTCCTCCACCAGCTGCAGCACCCGCACTGGGTTCAGATGCTGGGTTACAGGCATTGTTGCCTTCTCCCTGCACAGGGGTGGAGCAGGTCAGCAGGGCCAGTGGCAGAACCTATTAGGAATCCATACCACCCCCATGTCCACTCCCCCCTGGGCCCCACCGAAAAGCCTGCTCCTTTTGCCGGTCGGCTTCTCTCAACTCCTCTGCCCAGTCCGAGGCCCATATCTGGCCCCGAAGGCCCTCTACCAGCTTCACCATAAAGGAGCCCACGTCTCCTGGAGAAGGAAGAGGGCAGAGCTTCAGAAAGGGACCCTCCTCCTGCCCTTCCAGCACCAAAGACCCAAAAGACAGCAGAAGTCACCAGTAGCAGCCCAGCAGGAGATAGACCAGGGACCCTCCTATGGCAAAATGAGTGAAACACCCCAGAGTCAGCTGGAACCAGGCGAGGCAGTTGGCAGGAGGAGGGAAGATAAAGTCAAAGGGAGCACATAACCCAAGCCAGCCTCATCACTTGCATCCCCCTCACACTCACATCAGGCACGCCTGCCAGTTCTTCCTCTGGAACACACCACTAGCCACAGTTCCACCCCCAACCACATCTTTATAACCTGGTCATACGGAGTGAACAAATAAATGAGATGCTGATGTGCAATTCATCATCTGCACTTTGGAAATGATCACACAGTTCAGATAAGCTGAGTTGCTGACCCCTATCCATCCCCACTCCAGGGTCCATCATTTCTGTCCTGGAACCTTTTATTGCCCCCTGCTACACTGAACCTTTCCATCAAACACAATAATGCAACTTCTGTTTTTCTCACGAGTCTTGGTCACCTATAGCAGCATACAGCCAACATTTCTTGGGAGGATGGGCAGAGCAGGGCACATGGAGTGGACCAAACTCAGGGCCAGAGGGCTGTGACAGGTCCAAGAAGTGAGCGCTCTGTCCGAAGAGCAGTGGGAAGGGTTTGCAGCCAGAGGACATAATTGAATGCATGTTCCCTTTGGTGTGCACCCCACCATTTGTTTATGCAGCAGCACTGATCAGTCTGAGAGCTAAATATGCCTCTAGCTGACTGGGTGCCCTGAGGCAGGGTCCAGACCACGTCCACCAGCACCCTGCTGCAGCAGAGGCCAACAGGAAGGACCACGAGGAGCACAGATATGCAGGGGGGCACTGATGGCTCACCGTGCACAGCCTCATGGGGTTTCCAGAACATGTCTGAGTTTAACAACATCTCTTTCCGGTTCCGGTTGACAATGATGATCTTGCTGCTGCGGTTGAGGACACGGCCATAGGACAGGCGGAAGTCACACACAATTCCTGGGGTGGACAATAGGGTGTCAGTGGACAGAGGGCCAATGTGCCAAGAGCTACCTGACTTTATCCACCATGGCAGACTGAATGCAAAAAGTCTTTTTTCTTCAGCTCTCCCTGTACCTGTGCCATCTGCAATGGCTTTGAAGCTCCCTATCCCTCAAATCTGAGCTGGTCGTGGGATGTGCTTTGGCCAGCAGAACGCAGCAGGACTGATAATGTGCAGAGACCTGGTTTCAAGGAGTCTTGCAGCTTCCACTCTCTCGTAAATAAATATGTCCCCCAGCCCCTCTTTCTCACCCTCCACCAACTGAACCAGCCAGGCTAGCCTTCTGGATGCTGAGACACATGAAGAATGTGAGTGAAGAGAGAACCCCATTATCCCAGCTGAACTCTTGCTGCATCAGCCTACAGGTGGTCACCCCACAAGTCCATGGGAAAGCCCCATGTGGACCAGTACAGCTGCCTTCCTGCCTCCACAATGCAGACCCATAAATGAGCCAGCTAAACCAACTACCACCTAGTCAGAGGGAGGGTCCTAAGAAATGAAAAGTGCATTTCCAGCTGTGGGGTTTGGGAGTGGTTACACAGCAGAAGCTAACAAATACAGCTCTAATGTACATTCAGGGATTGGAAACACTTGACATCACAGCATATACATGTCATGTGAACAATGCATAAAGTACCAAAGGGTACCTTTCAGAAGCTGGTGACAGTACACAGCAGCACTTGGTCAGAGCTCCTCTGCACTACAGGCATAGGCTGGTACAAAACCCTTCAAAGGGGAAGGGCAGCTTAGCAGTAAGAAGGCAGGTGACTATGAAGGTGGGCTGCCAGCAAGGACCTAACTTGGAGGGGCAACTTAGTAGAGTGAGGGGATGCAGGGAAAGGAGTGGGGAGAGGCCAAGGCCCACCTGCCAGGATGACGACGTCAGCCTTCTTGAGGGCAGTGCTGCGGTTCTGCCGGATGTGGAGGGGGTGGTTGCGGCCCAGCAGCCCCCGTGCCATCCCGCCCAGGAAACATGGGATGCCCAAGGTCTCCACAGTAGCCCTGGGGAGTAGGAAATAGGCAGAGCAGGGGTGAATGTGGCCAAGGGCCTGCCCCATCTCCAACTGGGCACTAGAGGACCAGGTACCAGGAATGTGAGGATAAGAAGGGAGTTGAGGCTTCTCACCGAAGCTTGTGGGCGGCTATCGGGGGCAGCATGGCCTGGCTCCCCAGCAAAAGGAGAGGCTTTTTGGCCCGGCTCAAAATCTCCACACAGCGCTGAACCTGGGGTGAGAGACGGAACTCAAAGCATGAACCCTAAGTCACCATTATCACCCAAGATCACAGCCTCACCCTCTCATAGGAGGGGTAGCCAAGATCTCACTCATGCACGAGAGTCCATCCTGCGGAGGGGGGAGGGGGATTGTGGGGGGAAAGAATGTTCCTTAATCAGGGAAGAGAGGCAATAGGCAATTCACCTGCAGAGGAGGTGCCTGGGGGATGTCCAAAGGCAGAGGCCCCTCAGGCCAGGGCTCCCAGGCTCCTGCAAAAAGGTTGGCCAGGTGATTTTCTAAGTACCTGTGAATGGAAAAGGAAGGCGCGATTATCAAAAGTAATCACCAGGGTTCCAAGAACTGAAGGAAGAGAAGGGCCAGGAGGGAAGGGGGACAGGCCCCAAGTGGATGGGCAACAGCCCAGGGCCAGACAAACCATGTGCCTGTTTTCCCTATGAAGCTTCTGGTGACCATCCCAACCAGACAGAGACCCTCAGAAACAACTGATGCAGGTGTGGCACACCAGGGTCAAGTATATAGCAAGGCCAAGGCCAGGATCAATTCTCCCTCCTATGCATGGCAGACATGGGCTTCAGTCTTTGCAGGACCTTGAAGGCACAAAAATAAAAGCTGTTCAGCCCTACCCTTAAGGAACACCCAACCAGACCAAAAGCAATACACATGGGAGGAAGCCATGGGACCCAGAAGCCTCTCTTTTCTTTCAAGAAGGGGTCAAGAGTGCAGAGAATAAAGAGGCCAAAGATGGAACAAATATGAAAAGAAAAAACAAGAGAAGAGTCAACCTCGCAGGGGCTGAGGAGGGGCAGCCCAAGAAAGGAGAGGAAAAAGGGAGAAGAGGGGGCAGGAGCAGGGAAGAAAAGGCTGCCAAGGGCCACAGAATGAAGTCATTTAAAAGTTCAGCCTGCCCACATCCTGTGTGTTCAGGATCCTCCCTGAACCTCCCTCTCTAGATCTGATTCCCTATCCACGTTGGAAGACATGTTGCCTTAAACCTGATGTGATACTGGACTCATCCCTGTTCTTATTTATGGGAGTAATGGGTAATTCTTTTATACTTCAACATTCAGCACTATTGGAATGATCTCACTTTATTCTTCACAGAATCTAGTCTGGAGAGAAAAGCAGGCACTATTCATCCACTTTAAAGAGTTTCCAGCTGTCCCAGAGCAGCCCCACCATCCTGCTCCATCAAAAAACCCAGTCTCTTGCCACTCAAAGTCCTAGAGTGAGCTAAGCCCATGTCACATCCCTTATCCTGGCCTGACAGAGGCCGAGGCATCCAACAGCCAGGC